AACTGGGAACAGGGGTGGTGCGGATGAGCACAAGGCATCTGGTACGAGCCTGTACGGCAGTAGACCACATCCGCGGGGAGAAGGCCGAAGTGAAGGGGGAGGAGTGCGTATGGCAGTAGCACTCCCTGGTGCAAGGAATTGGGCTTGGCTAGACTGCTTGCAGGGATTTGAGGGAGATGGCTAGGGGAAGGAGGGAGAGGGCGGATGTCGGCATGGATGGAGATGAGGATCGGAGGAGGAGGAGGAGGCTGGGTGATCAACAGGTGAGCAGGCACGGGTCGGCAGAGAGGGCGCAGTGGGTCACGTGCATGGTCACGTGCCCAAGGAGCACGGCGTCCCCTGACAATCATACTCCCTTTCTCTGACTAGAGTTTTAACAGATCCTGTTGTCAAATGGGGCTGATGCAAATACACTGGGCATCCCTGAGAGAAAGGGTGGACTACAAAAAAGCTTTTGCATCTGCATTTGCTATATCTGCCTGGGATTCTCCTAGCTGGGTTAAATGATCACATATTCCATATTTGTTGGAATTGACTTTTCATAAACCACTAATATCTTCTCTCAGGTTTATATTTCCAAAGCCAAACTCAAGTATATCAAATGAAATATTCATGCTGTTATGACACCATCTCACAAATGACTGGCATGGCTGCACCACTGGTCAAATCACTCTAGCTGACAGGGAGTTCACTCAACAAGATGGGCAAACAGATCAAGGAGAACAAGTGCAGACATATAATGCCATGCACTGACAAAGACAGTACTAATGCTATGCTGACCTTAGGCTGAAGCTTAGTATCTACTTCACTTACAAACTGCCCGAAATAAATGCAATTACCACTCTGACTCGAACCTTTGCCCTCCTGGAAAATCACGTGACAGATCAAATCACATGATCTATACCAGCTGAGGGTCTTTGTGCACTTGTCGTAGCAAGGCCTCCATCAAAATTTTTGCAGATCTAGGTCTTCGATAGTACAGCCATGCGGATCATTGAAAAAAAGGAAGAAAAGAAAAGACAAGCGAAAAAAACTGTCCAGTCACGTGAGCTTGTATTCCATTGGCCCGTGCAGGCTGCAGTCCTCCTTCTTCCCAATTGTGTCTCGGTCCAAAAGAGACAGGGTACCCGGTCCCGCCTGCGCCATCACAGCAGATCCTCAAATTCTCATTCTGTGCCCTGGTCATCCAGAGACTGGTCTGGGTAATCAGTTCGTCAAGTTATACGTCCGCCGCTAGCTCAACGCTGCACACCACATGTGAGCTAATGTAGAAACGAAGAACTGCGGCGGAGCACGCAGGGCGTTTCGGGGATATGTGACACCCCGGCGTGGTAGTATGACCGGAAAGACCGACTGGAAAAGACGTGATCTCGGCTCTGATCGGCTATCGACCTCAAATCAAGTGATCACCCCTCCAAAAGTTCTCTATCGTGCGCAACTGTGACTGTGTCCCTCTCGATGGTACTCTTCCGGATCTCATCATTGCTGCGCCGCAGTCACTTGACAAGGTATGCACTGCTTCCAGTGTCGGTCGCATGGGGAACTGTCGGCTTTGCGTGCGTGTACACTCCGTGCCATTTGATATGAGCACACTTCGGTACCGCAATACCGGAGATGAACTGGCTCGGATGCTTCTGGCATTTGCGTCGGTGCGCTGCAAGCTCCGCTGGCACTATACCTCCTTCCGGGTGCCGTGATCTAGAAATCCACTAGTCGTCATTTCAAGCCGAGACCGGCGTGTGGTAAGTACCAAAGTGAGTAAGTTATCATCCTTCTAAACATAACACATGCGGCTGACATTGTAATTATCAACTCGCAAGCATTGAAATTCACCCAAAATATGGTGTCGAAGCCAATCCTGAGCTCGCGACCTTCACGAACACTGTTCACTACTAAAGATAGTGTCCATTTCCAATTTGCTCCCGGGTCGAACAGATCATCTAAATATGCCTGCAGCGAGCTACTTTATGGGCAGGTGCATTCGATCTCAAATGTAACCGACTCACCATCACGCATCAAAGTTTTCCTGCTTGTGCTCAATTTGCTCCAGACGAACTCTCGCAACACTCTTCAAGAGGGCGTGGTTTGGGATTTTGAGAATGATACAGGCGTCGAGGCAAACGCAAAACCTCTGCTGTCTGATGAATCCTTGCGTGGCTCTGTGATCTGGAAATCTTATTCCTGCAGAATCTAGATCTCTCAGATGACCGGAAGCTCGTTGATTCTACACATTGGTCGATTCGAGATGTTTTCTTTGCGGCGCCTGTCGCTTGCGAATCAGTACTATATCTCCGGTCCGAGTCGTTAGGCCGGTCTGTTTGCTAAGATAGACAACAAGTGAGGGGACTCTTCGTCGTCACGATCGGCGTTATCTTTGCCAGATTAAGCTCTTGGCCGAAGCCGAATTGGATTTTCCGCAGCAACTTGCCCCACGTAGACTGTGTCATGGTGGTCATAAGGTTTTTCGGTGGATGACTCCGCTCCTCTAGACAGTTGAGATTTTGACACTCGCGATTTCATCTGATGATTCTTCCGGCATGCTACTCACTTCCGAGCGCAAACCTTCTTTGCAATTAGGCGACGGTATTTCTGATTCTGATTGTTGGAATATGGTCCCTTGAGTCGTATCGGCCGCCAGCCTTCTATCTGACGCAATTCAGCGAATTTTCAGCTCACCGCCGGGGCACGGCCTTCGGGAGACCGAACGGTGCGCAGATTCCCCTTGAGAGGCTCCCCATCTTGGAGTTCCAATCGATGTCTATCCTGCTCCTTCACGCGTATCCGTGATCCGGTTTCCCCCCAGTTGTCTAAATCTGACCGGGGTGATATATGTAGCCGAAGATTCCGGTACAACAACTCGCTTCCAAATATCGATACCTGATCATGAGCACAAAACAAGGTCCCGTGATATTGAGTCATGTTTGTGCCTCACAATTGCGAGGACCATCATTGATGATTGGCGCAGTGACCTCAGGTCCTGCGACAAATCCGGGTGACTGGGCCAGAGAATACTGGAGAATAGTAGTTCATTCCGCGGTGTTTCACTTTTCGGCGGTCTGGAACGTCCTAGAACCGTCAGTAGGTGCAGGATGCGCGTCGCATCGGACACCCAAAATACATTTCACGGACGTTTATTCTCTGATCACTATCGACCTCGGGCTTCTTTACATAGCCGACCGACGGAAGCCAACAGCCTAACATGGCGATTTCTATGTTCCATACACGTCTTTGACAGGCCTCTAAAGCTGTAAAACATCATACTGCGAGAGTGCGCGCTGTGTGTTGGGATAAGGTGGCTTTTCAGGCTGCCATGCGGTGCTTTGCCATGTCGCAAGCATGCTCGGTGACGACGCTGACGTGCGGAACGCAGAAATATACGCGACTGGAATCGGCGGTGCGGAAACGCACGTGAATCGGTGCCAGAATTGCGTGCTTGACATGTGGACAGTGCCAGAAATGAGCTAGCTCACAGAGGTTGGTCGGCATTCACCAACATCGTCGGCTCCGAGCTGAAATTTCACAGGGAAATTAGTCTCTGTCAGCTCCAGTGCAAAACATTTGCCGAATTCTTCGATCGGTTCTGCGTGATGAAAGTGACATCCTGAGTCAGCGCATGGCTTTGGTCAGTGGTCGGTTCTTTCAAATTTCTTCCGATAGTTGATCACCTGGATATGGTGCATGGAAACGCGGCCGGTCGGCTTGCTTCTCCGCTCAGAGAGCGTGTGCGGTGAGATCTGGTGTATTTTCGGTGCATTACGGACGGAGTTCTAGTGATTATCGCATAAAACTATCCTTCAGAGAATCGTCTCATTAGACACGAAGAGCCCCATACTTGATTCCTCATCGAGGGAGTCTAGAAGAAATGAAGCTCATCACTGGTCCCGTCGTTGCTCCCAGCCACTTTCAACGTACCGAACTCGATGCCAGTGTGACTTCCGTCTACCCCATGACCAGAGCTCAAGAGGGGATGTGGATGGCTTACTCTGCTCAGCCACAGCACACCCTGTACAATTTGACAATGAAATTCACACTGGCATCCTCGGACACCTACTCGATGGAGAAAGTTCTAGCGGGTGAGGACATCGGCGATCTCAGCCTCGGACTGTGCACTCACTGGACATCACAGGCATCCAGACCCTCACCGCGCGTCACGGAATACTGCGGTCCACCTTCCACGGCAACAAGTCGGTGCTGTCCCGCCCATTCGTCGCGGAGTGGGACGCCCAGTCCGCGCTGCCGTCGGTCCGAATCGTCGTGGAGCCGAAGACGGTCATCGCCAAAATGCATTTGCAAAAGCTGCTCCACCAGGCTGTGCCGCTGTCGGAAGAGTTTGCTGTGCGCTGGCTCGTCGTCGAGCTCCAAGGCGCCATCGAGGTATATGTGATTGCGCATCACATTGCCTTGGACGGAACGAGCATGAGCGAGCTCAGTGGTGAGCTCCTGGGTCTGCTCGATGGGAAGGCGGAGGAAGCAAGCCGATCGGCGAGGTTTTCCAAAAGGCTCATATGATGGAGGTGTGTTTTTTGATCATTCCTCATTCTTTAATGAATTCTGATCCGGTGCAGTCTGTGTTCCGAGGATCCGGTGCGTTCCAGCTGGCCAAGGAGTTCTGGCTCTCGCAAAGCCGGAATACCTCGTCGATCCAGTGGAAAGGCGTGCCCAAGGTGCCCGAGTCCCAGAACTACCGTGAGATTGCGAGATGGTCCGAGTTCAGCAAAGACGTGCGTGCGCGTGTTACCTCCCCGGTGTTCCAGTTGATTGACCGGATGTCACGCAGCAACTGGCGCAATGGAGCGCGCGGCATCGCACGTCGTGGTTCAGGGTCGCGCTGGCCGTGGTCGCACTCCTCACCCAATCGCACTCCATCGCAGGCTCGTCCCGCGATCAGACGCTGACGGTGGCGTTCGGCGGCCGTCCCAAGGGTCTTGATCGAACCGTGGGACATTTCGCCAACGCACTCCCCATCCGGGTCCCGGTGTCTCATCTGATCCGATCATCGTCCACCATCACCTTCGACGCGCTGCTCCGCCTGCTCTCGACCACCGTGTCGACTGCGAAGAAACATGAGCGGTTCTCGTTCATGGATCTGTCGCAGGCGTGCCTCGAGGAGGGCTGCATGCCGCCGCGGGCGCAGGTTGCGGTGACGCTGTCTCCGAAGCTAGAGCGCGAGGAGTGTGAGCTGTACCCCGTCGAGGGCCCATATGATCTCTTCTTCTGCTTTCTGGAGGCCGCTGACAGCGTCTCTCTCGGAGTGAGTCTATCTGCTGGTCATTCAACCGTGAAACTCATAAGGCTGTTCCAGGTCATCTACGACCCGACGCTGTTCGACCAGAAATCGATTGCGGCGCTCAAGGTCGACTTTGAACGGATCGTGGCCCAAGCCATGGCAGAGACGCCTTTCGATCTCCAACCGCTTCTGGGGAACCGCATCCCATGTCTGCTGCCGCCTATCGACACGACCGATGCGGGCCAGGTCAGCAAGCGCCGTTTCCATGTCATGTTCGAGCACCAGGCCGCTCGCAATCCCGCCGCGCTTGCCATGAGTTGTGCGGAGCGAGACGAGTCCATGACGTATGGAGAGATGAATGAGCGCGCGAATCAGATGGCGAACGGTCCGTGTGCTCTGTCCCTCGTGCGCGTCCCTGACGTCTCATGTCTTTGTAGCCCTGCGCCAATTGGGAATGGGCCGCACCCATGTCGTGCTGTTGCACTTGAAGCGGGGCTTCTCTACGTTGTGCTGGATCCTGGCCGTGCTCAAGGCCGGTGCGACGTACGCTATAGCTGATCAAGGCCACCCGCTTGAGCGGACGCGAAGTGCGATGGCGGTCGCCGAGCCCGACCTCATCGTGGATGACGGGATGGGTATCGAAGTGGGCCTCTTCTCAGGGACCGTCAAGATCTTGCGCACGGACACGTGCACCTTGGACGCGTTCCCGAAAGACAATCTGGAGGATGTGTCGCAAGACGATGACCTGGCATACATTGTCTTCACTTCCGGCAGCACCGGTATGTTTGCAACTTGCTCCGTCCGGCATTGATTTGCTCAATGCTCACGCAGGCCAGCCCAAGGGCGTCGAGATCACGCACAGCAGCCTCTCGAACTGGATCACGGCCGCCCACGCAGCCGGATATTTCCCCATGGGCCCGTTTTCCCGCGTGCTGCAGTTCGCCACGTTTGCTTTCGACGCGGCCGTCCTCGAATGGTCCCTGGCACTTTCCCTGGGATCCAACCTGTGCTTTGCCAACACCCCCCAGGCCCTGATCGGCGACTACCTCGCGGACGTCATCGACAAGAATCTCGTGACCCATATGCACCTGACTCCCAGTGTGCTTGGGACTCTGCCGGCGTCGAGAAGGTTGCAGAGCCTGGAGTGCATCAGTGTGGGCGGAGAGATGGTCCCCGACAACCTGATCGAACGTTGGAGGACGAGGGTCACCCTGCAGAATGCATATGGGCCGACTGAAGCGTATGTCCTTGTGTTCTCAGCTGCTGATCGGCATCCTGACGACGTCTTTGCAGCACGGTCGTCATGGCTCACCGACCTCAGCCCAGTTCCCCAGGCGATGCTGCGCCCTCCGCGGCGAACATCGGCAAACCGCATTGGCCCACGGAGGTGTTTGTGTGCAACCCTTCGTTCGACCGACTGCTGGCTGTCAACGAGGTCGGAGAGGTCTGTCTTGCCGGCCCGCAACTGGCCCGAGGGTGCGCATACATTGGTGTTGTCTGTGAACATCCAGTCTCAATCCGTCCTGTCTAGCTACCGCAACCGGGCCGATCTTACCAGCCAAAGATTCGCAGTCCATCCTCAGAATGGCAAGCGGATGTACAAGACCGGGGACCGCGGCAAACTGTTGGCCGATGGGACCGTGGTCCTGATGGGCAGAATGGATCGCGAGCTGAAAGTCCGAGGGTACAGGTGAGTCGATCGGCTCCAGGACCGATGCTTGCACTGACGCCGACGTCGAGGATCGACCTGGACGACCTGGAACGCACCGTTGTGGCTGTGATGCCGTCCATCATTAGCGTCTCGGTCCAGTCCTCTCCGTCGGGCACCGACCTGTGTGTCTTTGTTTCGCCCCAGACTGTCGATGGGACCGAGCTGAAGCGGCTGCTTGGGCTCCGGGTGCCGAGCTACATGGTGCCGCGGAATGTGTATTGTTTGCCGCGGCTGCCCTTGAACACGAGCGACAAGACGGACCACAAGGTGATCAAGCTGCGCATGGAGGAGCTGATCAGGGACGCCAAGTTCCCGTCCGGAGCGACGACACCCATCAGCACGAGCTCTGACGAAGACGACCTGAGCTCTCTCGAGGATTCCAGCCGCAGCTCGACCTTGGCCGATTCGACCATGCTCCAAGCCGACGAGTCGGTGTCGCATCAGGAACTGACCAACGTCTGGATCGAACTACTCGAGCTGAAGTCAGCGCCTTCTGGGAAGAGCAGCTTCTTCGATCTCGGTGGGAACAGGTAACAGTCATCAGTCTGTGCTTGCCCCCTGATGGCTGACGTCTCTCAGCTTGCTCGCGCAGACGCTCATCGAGAAGGTGAGGGGGCAACTGCCGTCGGGGTCGTTGTCGGTGTCTGTTCTCGACCTTTTCACCTACCCGTGCTTGGACGACTTTATCCCGTTCGTCCAAAGTCGTGCTCCTGCCAAGGTCACAGCTCCCAGAGTGAAGGGCCCTCGGATGTCGAGGCAGTCCTCGACCAAGTCACTCGCACCAGCCAGCCAGGCAGACACCATTTCAAGCCTGACGAACATCTGGAAGTCGGTCTTGCAACTGGATCGGGTGGCCAAGGACGCGAGCTTCTTCGATGCGGGCGGAAACAGGTGCGCGAGCTACGGGATCTTGCCGAGAACTTGTGACTTATTGCGTGCAGTCTGTTGATGACGACGCTGCACAAGTCCATCGTCCGGTCCTGGCCCGGTTGCGGGGTGCAGCTCATCGACCTGTTCCAGAACGCGACGATCCAGAGCCAAGCCGAGTTGATCGCAGTGCCGTCGCCCGAGTTGATCGCAGTGCCGTCGCCCGTGCACAGCACCGCACCGTCTTTGAAGGCGCGCAAGAAGAGGGCGAGCGCCACTGGAAAGAAGGAGCGAGTCGCTAGCAGGGAGTCCGCCGGCCCAGACGAAAGCAGAGACATCGCCATCGTCGGCATTGCCGGTCGGTTCCCTGGCTCGTCCTCGCCCCAGGAGCTCTATCAGCTCTTGCTCGACCAGACCGAGGCATTGACGCATCTGTGCCCGGATTCGCCAGTCGAGGTGTTTCCCGGCGGGGTGTATGTACCGCACCGAGGCGCATTGAAGGACGTCTGGGAGTTTGATGGTGCTCGGTGGGGCATCAAAGCTGAGGAGGCCGAGTGAGTGTTCGTGACATGTGTGGTCCGCGGCGGCTGATGACCGCCACAGGGAGATGGATCCGCAACAGAAACTGCTCATGACCGTCGCCCAAGAGGCTCTGGAGGATGCGAGTGCGGTTCCGCCTGCTTCCGGACCGAACAAGATCGGCTTGTTCGTGGGAGCCGCTCCCTCGACCTGGGTTCCCAGTTGCGTGCTGCATCGCATTTCAGATCAGCGAACTGACCTTGTTCTTAGGCAAGCCAGACGAGGATGCGTTCCACCATGCGCACCGAGAGGCGCTGACGCCCTGTCTGTCGGCGCTGACGGCGTACCATCTGAACCTGCAGGGCCCGAACGTGACGCTCCACACCGCCTGTTCGAGCGGCATGGTCGCCATGTCGTTGGCAGTCGACAATCTCCGCTCGAAGACGTGCGATGTCGCACTGGCGGGTGGAGTGTCGGTTGCATTCCCGCAGTGCGTACCACAAACTCTTATCGCCGCCGGCAAAAACACTCACCGTTTGCAGAGCGGGATATCTCACTGCGCCGACACGCCTGTTCTCGCCTTCTGGGCACTGCCGACCCTTCGACTCGCGATCCGACGGCACGCTTCCGGGAGACGCAGTATGTGCGCTGGTGCTCAAGCGGATGAGCGACGCTGTCCGCGACGGGGACGATATCTACGCTGTGGTCAAGGGGATGGCCGTCGGCTCAGACGGGAAGCCTGGGAAAGCAGGACCGACTGTTCCCAGCCCGAGAGGACAGGCGCAGAGCGTGAAGGGCGCGTGGATGGATGCGGGTGTCAGCGCAGGGAAGCTGGTCTATGCGGAGTGGGTGTTGGATATCCAGGTTGCGCATGTCAACTCCGCTAATGTTTTGCACAGACTGCACGGCAGTGGAACACCGATCGGCGACGCACTGGAGCTCGAGGGCTTGAAGATGGCCCGACGAGAACTCGGGGTCGAGAAGACGCCGTACATTGTGGGATCGAACAAGGGCAATCTGGGCAACTGCGAGGTGCGGGACCTGATCTCCGTCTCGTATTGACAGATTCAAACCCCTTCTCAGGCTGCATCTGGATTGGTCTCTGTGATCAAGCTCGTCAAGTCCATCCAACATGGCGTGGTTCCCCCGCTGCAGTCCTTCGAGCAGCCGAACCCGGTCATCGACCCGACGCTGAAGATCTCGTTTGCCAAGAATCCCGTGCGGTTGTCTCCCGACGCCTTGCTCAGTGCATCGAGCACGGGTCTCGGCGGCGTCAACGCCCATTGCGTGCTGGCGTTCCCCCCCGCCCAGCACAAAAGAAAGGCGTCGGTCGAGGCGACGTCCATCAAGGGTCCAGTCGACGTGTCGGTCGAGGTGCCCAGTCCGAAAGCGAGTGTGCCAGATGCCACGTCGGCTGGTCATCTCGTGCTCCGTCACGTTCGATCTATCCTCGGCACGGACGAGATCAGCTCCACGACAGTGTTGAGGGATGCCGGGCTGGACAGTCGCGGCCAGATGGCGCTCCTGCATCAGCTGCAGCAAGCAGGGTGCCACATCCCGTGCGTGCCTTCCTTCATTTAGAACTCGTCTCTCGGGCATTGACCGAATCCCTGCAGTCTCTCGGCGTTCATCGACCCATCGTGCACGGTCGAGTCCATTGTGGCGTCGATCAGTGCATCGCTTGCCTCCTACATCTCGTTCCTGCAACAAGCTCCGACGGGAACGACGTACGTTCTCATCGCACCAGGAGGCGGCAGCTGCCTGTCGTATGCTGCGCTGGCGCGTCATTTGCCGGCAGATTCAACGATCATGGCGCTCGATCACCCTGCGCTCCACGGCATCGACTCGGATTGTGGGATCAACGAGCTCGCCACGAGATACGTGAAGGACATGCCGCCCACTTGTCGCGATGTCGTGCTCGTGGGCGCCTCGTTCGGTGGTCTGGTCGCGACGGCGATGCTGGGCCCGATGCAAGAAGCCGGAATCCAAGTGCGCGCGGTGGCCCTCATCGACAGTCCGTTCCCAGGATCCACCTCCGCAGACGTCTTGCTGACTGCGGATGCGTTCGTTCGCAACGTGTTCTCTGCGGAGTCGAGGCCCGCCTTGTCTGCCGAGGAGGCAACCCTCGATCTCGCCACGTTCGCCGCTCGGCATGGCAGCGATATCCGTGCGCTGGCCGGGACGTACGAGAAGAACGTCAAAGCGATGGCTGAGTGGTTGCCGTCTGGACCCTACGCCACCTCTGCGCTCTATGTCGCTGCCACAGCTGGCGAGGTCGACGAGCGCTGGGAGGCGGCATTTTCAGGGATGTCCGTCGAGCGAGTCGAGGGGGAGCATGCCGGTGCTTGGATCGGAGACAACGCTGTCAAGGTCGCTGGGTGGATTGAAAAGATGCTCGGCGCGCAGTAAGCCGGACCGAATGTATTGATAATGTGAAAATCGTTTCTAGTATGGCATGTTCTCGCATCACAATGTATATGTATTAACTGTCCTTGTGTAATCTTGCGCACTCGCTGGAGCTCATGGCTCCGAGTACTTCACCCCGACGGCAGCCCTTCCGACCACGCCGGGAAAGCTGTCGCTGGGGGTGTGCGCGTACCGCACCGATTCTCCATACTGACATCCTCCTCCTCGTCCACATCGAGAGACGCGGCGCACCCCTCTCGATATCTGCTCTGCTCTGGATGTATACACATGTGCCCGAGTCCGCGAGCTCGCGAGCATCGAAGGGAGAGTTTGTTGAGCTCGGCGGTGAAAGCAGTTGCCCCCAGTCCACTTGCATCGGCAATCCGTGCTGCGTACCGAGTCCCCGGACGCGCCGGTTAGCGTCCATCGTCGTGTAGTACGTAACAGTGCACGAAGTCAGTCGCTCGTGCCACGTCCGTGGAACAGATCTGGCTGGAAGTTCAGATGGATACAGACAGCAGTGCGTACGCTCACGCACCTTGAGCAGTCTTTGAGCACAGCATTCTCGACACTGCCGAGGTCGTGGGTCGGTTTGCCTGTGGTCGATCGGCGGCATACCTACCATGGGCTGGAAAGCGTCTTGGAAACCGTCCAGCGCACCGGAGCGGATTGCCGCTGCTACCGCAAGGGCGTGCCTCGTCCCAAGCAGGCGCGGGCTGTCTACTTTTGAAAGTGCCGCTGCCGAGTATCCCTCCAAAGACAACTGCGCTGAAACCTGTGCCCGTCGCAGCTGCTGCGGATCTGTGCGAGTCGTGTTATAACCGGCCGCTCCAGCAGTAAGGCTCGTCACTTCCAATCCTGTGCTTGTGACGCCGCTTTCACCAGCACCGGGACCCGTTGTCGTCGCTGCAACTGCCGCATTCGAGGCTCGTCCTGACGCATGTCTTCCGCACGTCGCAAGTAAAGCTGTTCCTTGAACTGCAGCCGTCGATACTCTTCCTCCTCTTGTTGCTTCTGGCACATATACTGTCCCTCGAGTAACCTGTATGGAACACCTTGGATCAGGCCACCCAGCCTCACATGAAATCTATCCAGCTCGCTGATCAGACTCGGATGCACTCCTACAGACGAGAGCGAGCCTGCCCACTTCCCCCTACAATCGGTGATCCACAGTTCCCAAAAAGAGGCCACGACGTTTCAGGACCTCGCGTGCGTTGAAAATCCACCTGACACTGTCACGATCTGGGAAGAGGAACATCAGATCAGCCAGGACTGAACGCAATGCATCCCATCCCACTTACGCAGGCCAATCTAAGGCCACAGCATCGGACCCCGAAGCTGAAGTGAGATGAGTCGACCGACGCGTTTTGAATAGTACTCCCAATCCCTCACAGCGCCCGCGTGGGAGACTGCTTCCTTCCGCCGGATTCGGATCGTGCGCTGCATAAAACGACGGTCGCACGGCACCCAGTCCATCAAAGCCAGGATAAGGTAGATCAAAGTGAGGTAGTGTGCGGTATCGATGAGCGATGGACTGCCCCCTCGTCTCGATTTTCCTGGTGCATTAGGATGTCACAGCGGATGCATCTCGTCTTCCGTCTGACTTCACGTCGAACTTCGAATCGCGGCACTTGCGCCTAGTATAGCTCGCAGGGACGGGCTGTCTTCTCTTATGGCACAAGACGGCCGGACACAAAGGTCAAGTCGATTCCAATTTCCCGACACGTCGGGCCGTCGGCAGAGATCGGGTATGCAAAATGTTGTTACTGGTCAAGTCACGGTGATACTCGTGACGAGCTTGATGGGGTGTGACAGCACGTGTTTTTCAGTTCCGGGCCAATCGTTGGAAGTACTTATGAACGCCGGTTTCAGTTCAACGCGAACTGGATTCTCGGATGATTCGCGTATCCTGCATCCATGGCGATGTCTATCTGTCGTCGCTGTAGAGCATGCGAGCGTTCGAATGGAATGGTGGCCGATTGAATCGCTTTGTGTGCGTATCCCCAGAGTGACTGAAAAAAGACTAGCCATCAGCATAACTCAAACCTGCTTACAGAACAGCTTCTAAGTCCCAACCAGCCAGCTAGCTCATCCTCAGCGGCAAGTGACGGCCATCGACGGGGAAACCCGGGTTGGCCGGACCTTTCTGGCGCGAACGGGTCATCGGATTGCGCCTGTGGGAGAGACTTGTGTGATTATATGAGCAGTTTGACTGTGCGCCGGAAAAATTACCGCGGGTGGGAGCAGGAGATAATAGTTCCCGCGCTGATCTAGGGCCCCGGTTCCCAATGGGACACGGCGACTGCTCTCGTGCGTCTCCACTGCTCCCAAAGCCAGACCAGCTGATGACCACGTAGACGCGCTTATGTAGGAGTTACCAATGAGCATTCAAAGCGACTCGTGTGCCGTATGTGCATCTCGACGTCCGGTGAGAGCCAACGGGATACCAGGTACGTACATTCGGGCAGCACCGGTTTTTTTTGCATTGACATGCATCGGCTGCTTATGTGTGAGATGCTGCGACAAATCCCTTTGACAAATCTGGGATCGCTGTGGATCGCGAGGACCTCGCTCGCTACGAGCGTCCCGTGTATTCCACGTCGGCGCGTTTATTGATTTACAGCCAATAAGGTCGATGTAGGTGTTTGAGGGATACAATCTGGACCGCGTGGATAGCTGGTTGGTGTTCAAATATCCAAGACTCGATTTCAAGTTTAGAACATGTAGGTACCCCGAACTCGGCGACTTTGATGCACCAACAAACAGCATACCGCTCTTCAGCTATCTCATCAACTTGCCTCTCCCAACGCCTATGTTTTCTTCACCATCTTCGTAACTCACACGTCCTTTGAATAAGCAAGCGTTATTTTCAGCGCGGGAATATATCACCCGACTTCCTTATACCCGCGCGGTCATATTTTCTGAACATTGACCGATAGTAGGCGAACGCGTATCGGAGGCCGGGTGCGTGTGTCTGGAGGGCCCGAAGGTTGCATCTCGTGCTGGGCGACACGTCCATTCTACGCGTGCTGCCTCACGACGTGTCCCACCACCCTCCATCATGGCACGGACTCAGTCACCGGGTTGAGGTCTCTTGTCGCGTCTGCCGTCGAGAGCCACTGGGCCACTGGGCCACGGATGACGTCCCAGATCGAGGCAGAATTAGATCGCGCTCCAGGTGAATGGGGCTACGGGCCTACGGCATCATGGCCCAGATAAAAGCAAGCAAGCTGTCACTGCTCCCGCATGACCAGTCCTTCTTACGCGACCCCGCTCGTTCCCGGCCCCATGGCGTCTACGGAACACGACGAACAGGATTCCATGAGCGAGAAGACGGCGCCTGCGACGCCCGTGGACGAGAAGAGGAGCCCCTCGGAGGATGACATCGAGACGGCCGGGGATCCCGGGGACGACGAGTTCGCTGTGCTGCACGACGAGCGCGACATTGCGACACACGTCATCACTGTCGAAGACGATGAGACGCTCAACCCGTGGACCATCCGCGCGTTCGTGCTCGGGCTCGGTCTGTCGGCGTTCGGTGGTGTCTTGGGTGCGTCGTGGGTTCTGTTCATGTCCAGCGGCTGTGGCTGACGCCCCGGCGGCAGCTGAGATCTACTACTTCAAACCCGTGAGAGAACTTATGATGTCTCGAATACTCGCTTCTTTCTCACTCACCCGAATGGCTTCCAGCAAACTGTCCTTGTCTCGACCCTGTTCTTGGCTATCATCTCGTACATGCTGGGCACGGCATGGGGGTCACTCCCACGTGGCAAGACCGGATTGCTCTACTGGCTCAACCCGGTAAGCAAGCGATGCCCTCCTTCCGGTTCCGCGTGCACGTGGTTCTCATCGCATGCGCCACACAGCACCCGTTCAACAAGAAGGAGAATGCCTTCATCGTCATCATGTCCAGCGCCGCCGCGACCTCGGCGCTCGGCACCGAAGTCCTGGCTGTCCAGCGGCTCTACTACAACATCACGCCCAACCCAGCTGCCAGCATCTTCCTGCTGTTTAGCAGTCAGCTCGCCGGGTATGGAATTGGCGGATTGCTGCGTCCGATTCTGCTGTACCCGTCCAAGGTCAGTCACCCCGCATATCCAAGATACCGATGATGGATGAATCTCCAGATGTTGTATCCCGGGGTTCTTCCTCTCGTGTCGATGTTCGATGTCCTCTACACGGACGCGGAAGCTGTGCAGAAGAGAGTCAAGCTGTTCTGGATCGCATTTGGCTGGTGTGTATTATCCATCCCGATCTCACAGTGATCCGGACTGATGCCGCGTGTGTGTTACATAGTATCTTCCTTTGGGAAATCTTCCCGGAATGGGTGCGTGATCCAAACCTGTCCGGCCGCGAAGTTGGCATCAACGATCACACGTCTGATACAGATCTTCCCGATGTTGACGGGATTCTCGATCTTCTGTCTGGCGGATCAGCGATCCCCGAACTTCACACGAATCTTCGGCGGCTCGAACGGCAACGAGGGACTCGGGCTGCTCTCGATCTCCCTCGACTGGCAGTACATCTCCGGCGGCAGCCCGCTCGCGATCCCGCTCAAGGCGCAGTTCAGCAATCTGCTCGGGTACATATTGTCCATCGTCGTCTTCGTCGGCGTGTACTACGGAAACGTGTGGAATGCGAAAGCGCTGCCCTTTGTGCGTCGCTGGTTCACTTCCCCCGCTCGCCGCTGGCTGGTTGACCGTGTTTCCAGCTATCGCAGGAACTGTTCTACGCCAACGGGACTTTGTACGACCAGACGCTGATCTTGAATGAGAACTTCGAGGTGGACAAGACCTTACTGGCGGAGCAGGGCCTGCCGTACTACGCCTCGACTTGGGTCGTGCAGCTGCTGGCTACCAACTTGGTAAGCCTCTGATACCGCACTGAAGCGCGTGGGTTTGCTTGCTGACACGTTGCGGCGACGCTGTCCAGAGCATCGCAGCGACCGTGACCCATCTCCTGCTGTGGAACCGAGATGACCTGAGGGCGGCCTGGAGCTGGGCCACGCCGTCCGCTCTCCGAAGCTCGGTGCGCAACTTCAACTGGCGGTTCTGGCAGGACGACGGGCTGCGCACCGCCCCCAAAGACGATGCAGCGGACTTGGACCCGCACTATCGGGAGATGCTCAAGTATCCCGACGCGCCGAACAGCTGGTGGGTGTCTCACCCGTCTGCGTGGTGTGTGGGATGGTCAGTGTCGACTGACACGGCCGACAGGTACATCGTCGCCCTCCTGGTCTCGTTCGTCATGGGCATGGTCCTGATCTACAAAACGAACTCGACGCTGCCGTGGTGGGGCTTCGTTGTTGCGCTGATCCTGTCCGCGTTCTGCACGCTCTTCTTCGGCGCGCTGTACGGCATGACCGGGCTTGTGTTCATCATCCAGCCGTTTAACCAGGTGCGTGCTACGTTTGGGAGTGATAGACAGTGCGATACTGACTTGAAGGATCCAGATGCTGGGCGGATTCTTGCACCCCGGCAAACCAATGGCCAACATGTACTTTGTGTTGTTCAGTTACAGTAAGTGGGGGCAGTGGCTTTACTCCCCTGGACGACCGCTCAGTTCCATCAGACTCGGTCACGCAGGCCCAGCTTCTGCTGCGAGACCTCAAGATCGCACAGTGTATGCACTGATCTTTGTTTCCTGATAGCGATGCCTGGTTATAACCCTGATTGACAGACGTCAAGCTTCCCCCGCGTGCAGCGTTCACGGCCCAGATCATCGGAACCTTATTCGGTGCCATTCTGAACTTTGGTCAGTCAAAAAGAATGAATTAAGAGACGTGTTAGGACACGACTGACACCAAACAGTTCTGATGAACTCGATTATCGATAACCAACGCCCGATCCTGCTTTCTGTGCAGGGGACGAACATCTGGAGCGGCCAGCAGCCGCAGCAGTACAACTCCCAGGCCATCGCCTGGGGCGGACTGAGCCACGAATTGTTTGCGGTCAACCAGCGGTATCAGTGGGTCGCATGGGCCTATCTCGTCGGGCTGGTTGTCCCGGTCCCCTTCTGGCTCGCCCACCGGTACTGGCCAAAGCTGCGCACGGACTATCTCTACACGCCCATCATCTGGTGAGTCACAGCACCTTCGATTGATCCTCTTCCCGTGGATCCTGACGGGGTTCTGGAAGCTATTACATTGGGTGGCTGTGCGTCGGCATCAACTCGTCGATCACGAGCTTTTTCGTGATCGCCTGGATATCGCAGTGGTACATGCGCACACGCTACCCGCGCTGGTTCACCAAGTACAACTACGTGCTCGCCGCGGGGCTGGACGGCGGGACGCAGGTGATGGTGTTCATCCTGTCGTTCGCGGTCCAGGGCGCGTCGGGCAACAGCCATCTCTTCCCTCAGTGGTGGGGCGCCAACCAGAATGGTGCGTGGCTCGCGTTAGAGCGAGACGTGGGCTCGGCTGCTGACCGGTCTGCGAGTACAGGCAACTACGACCGCTGTGTGGTCATCCCTACGAACTAGATCGACCCCCTTGATGACTGAACGTAATTCTTGTACTTACGCATCAGAGCGGAAATGCAAACCGGAATAAACTAATATCGCTGCATTTCACGAGTAGTTGGTATTGAAATTAAGTAGCGTTAATGGGATGCAGCTCAGCTGTCCCTGAAGTTTCCAGATCATTGAATTACCCCATCAGGGCTTTCACCGGCCACTAAGGGCCTGATCGGGTGCGACGCTCTGCTGGGCGTCCCGCTTACGCTCTGCTCCGGACTGCTCCGGAGCGCCCTTGGTTACGCTCCACGTACTATCGATGACCCACTTCTGCAAACACTTTGATGGTGGCCTTGCTAGCTTGCATAACACACACCGAGAAAAAATAAAATTGAGGATACTAAAGTTAAAACCCTTCAGATTGTCTTCATGAAATTTACTCGCTATCTGTGGTCAGAGGACGAAGCCACGCAGTTGCCGAAACGATCACTTTTTTTGGCGGGGCTGACCCCCCTTTTGCAAACGCTTGTCACACGGGGTCACACTTTGATGCAATCCGGCATGTCTCGGCAATGATGCGGCCTGACTGGAGGCGGGTCTCGGTTATTGCATGCGGGACTTGAAAATTGATGGCCTCTGTCACGCATGCTCCGTTCTCATTAACTGCGAGGCCTGGACTCAGGATGTATGAACCATGCATTACCAGTAGCAAATCTAAGGGTGTGAGCTTTTTTCCGCATCGAAATCCGATATCTCTGAGTCAAGATGAGTAAAAAAGTGTTCTAAAGTTAGGTTTATGGTCTCGGGTCTAATTATTTCGAAATATGGAATGTATATATTTTACAGGAGCATTGAACAGCTATATAATGATCTCTGGGAGTCCATCCGGGACACATTGAGGGATGTGGAAGCCCAGGAAATGTGTGTTTATCACGGTGATAGGCTGGCTACCAGACGCGCTCTGCACCAGCTCTATAAGGGTGTATTTTTGCGCTTTTACAGAGTTTACTCTTGAACCATTCGGTGTATTGTGTCGCGGTTGACAGTATTGCGCTCAGTAGGAATTGAGGGTCTACTGCCCAGTCAACGACTGTGGATAGTGTTGACAATAGCAAGGCAGTCAGACCACTACTGTGGAATTGGTCTTATGAGTCTACACCAGGCTCAGGGCTATTAGTAACGGACACTTGGACTGCGACAATTCCCCAAAAGGGATCCTTTGTTGTGGTGACTCCTCAAAAGGGTCATTCTCTGCGGATGGGAACTCGGGCTGGAGGGCTTAGCAAGGCGCAACGTGCTCAACATATCAACTACTACTAGACAGGACTTGGCATTACAAGATTGAACCAATCTTGTCGCGGCAACTCCCGGCTTTGGGTTGAACATTTCCTTAGATCATGCCACGGTGACAACTTGTCACATGTCATGATCCACTTGATCACGGGATATTGTGGACGCGTTGTGGTGACACTTCAAAGTGTCATGGTGAGTTGCGCCCATACCCAAACACACCCAAAGCGACATGGGCTAGATCCGTGAACCGAACCATGTGAGGAACATCTGGCGTGCCTGGGACCATACGGCTTCTTGGGGCACCCACGTTGGACTCACTTGCCAAGACATACCAGTTGGCCAATCCAGCACGTCGTATTCCGAAAGTATGACGTGGTGGGTTGACCCACATCAAAAACACCATATAGACAATGGGGCGGGGTCCTGATCAGTCAGGACCTGTCTGATCATTCAACTTTTTCATTACCATAAAAAGCAACCAATCTTAGATAGCGTAGCTACTATGCAGTTGTACAGGACTTTAGTAAGCACTGTTGTAGACAGTATAAGTAGCGCATCATTTCTTTGTATTGGGGAGCTTTCCCCCAGACTGTGAATCATACCCATATCAGATTGTTTTGTGCAATTTGCGTGTCGCGTGATTCCGCCTTAAGAAGTTCTGCTATCCCTGCCCGGTCGCCACGAGTTGCTCCCTGAGCACTTGTAGCTACTGTGTCAGGGGAACCCCCACTTCAGACCGCTCTGCCTTTGATCAGGCATGTGATCGCGCTCGCGTGACCTGTCAGCTGTTACGTACCGCAGCCCGGACTGCCACGCCGAGCACTTCTCTCTGATGGGCACATGGTCAGGTGCCCATTGTTCCTATTGTCTCCGCATCCCATTGTTCTGTCATGGCCGTTGTACTTATTGTTCCCATTGTTCCTTGTTTGTCGCTGCGCGCTCTATTGTTCCTGTATCATATAAATAGTGGCACCTGGCAAGGAGAATCCCCAACATGGTTTCTCTTTGGATTCTCCCTTGCCAGGTATGCCGGTCTTGTACCTAGCTACCACTATTAACATCTTTGGATTCTCCCTTGCCAGAACTCTGAGATCGGGTCTCGAGGTTGCCCTTACAGCAGAAACCGTGTTCCTAGGGATAACTGGTCAAGATTGCGAGGTTTGATGCCGATAGTAACAGCGGAGATGAGTCGATGAGCGACCAAGACCGCCAATCCGTCACCTCTTTTCTTGCCCCCTCCTCCCCTCCACAAGCACACTCAACCAGCATGGAGGACGACAACTCCCAGCATTGACTGTCCGCTCTGGAGACCAGCATCCAGAACATCGAAGCCGTACTCAATCGGCTCCTCAACCAACCACAACCCCCTGCCCCTGCCCCTGCACCAGCTCCGGCAGTGGGTCCAGGTGTTTCTGCTGGCTCGCAGTCAAACACTGTGAGCCCCCTCATCCGTCCCAACCCCCCCTTCTTGTTTGATGGGGATTGCACCTTGGGCAAGAGCTTCTTGCACTCGGTGAAGCACTACTGGCGACTGCTCCCCGAGGCGTTCTTCGTGAATGGGGTGGTCGCTGAGGAGGAGGTAGTTCGCTTCGCCCTCTCCTACATGTCCAAGGACTCGGCGGCCTCCTGGTCCGAGCGCATGTCCGAGCGCACCCCGTTCCCGTTCCCCACTTGGGCTCTGTTCATCACCGAGTTCAAGCTCCGATTCGTCGAGGAGAACAAGCAAGACCACGCCTTGGCGCGACTGGAAACCCATCAGTATTATATGGGCTCCTGCGATGTATTCAAGTACACGGACGAGTACGACAACCTCCTTGACCTCGCTGGTTATACCAACAACTTGGTCAAGGTGACCAAATATAGGACAGGCTTGGACCCAAGGATCAACCAAGCCATCACCACCTCTGGTAACCCTCCCAGCCTCACTGATTACGCCAAATGGCGTGTCCATGCGTTCCGGCAGTACAATGCGGAACTCGCTGCCAGAGCTTCTCGAGGCCACGCAGCACCTCCTCCCCGAGCGCCTGCTGTTGCCCCCTGTCCTCGTGCCCCGGTGCTCCCTGCTGTAGTACCGGCCCTCGCTGCCCGCCCGGCGCCCGCCCCCGTCGCCCATCCAATTCCCATGGAGGTAGACCAGGCCCGGCTCCGTGGTGACATTCGACGCACCTGCTTCCGCTGCGGCAGTCCAGGTCATCTTGCCCGTGACTGCCCCACCCCAGCTGACATACGTCACGCTGATGTCCTTGATGAGGTCATCAATCAACTGGGGAGTGATCTGCTTTCTGAGTTGGTTGCTTGGGTCGCGACCACTGCAGCCGTTGCGGAACACGCGGTGGATGTTGCAGCTGAGGTGGAACAGGGTTTTCTCCCCAGCGACAAGTGAGTAGTACGCCCTCGTTCGCTTCATGTAATCGTTTCTCCTGTTTGTATGATGAATCCAATTCCCTCCACTCTGCAACAGTTGAAGCGATAGACGTACACCCTGCTCCCCCTCTAATCCCAGGAGTCCGTAAGGAGAAGTGGGAACGCAAGCTCCCTTCCTGCTATGTCACTGCCGCCTCTCCCGGGGCCAATTCTCTCCACCTCCCCCTTGAGATCGAGTCCACCGACAACGCAGTGAAGTTATCTCTCAAAGGCCTGGTCGATTGTGGTGCCACATCCGACTTCATCGACTCGGCCTACGTCCTCGAAAATCACCTCCCCGTTCGTTGCCTCACCCAGCCTATCCCCGTTTACAACGTGGACGGCACGCTGAACGAGGCCGGTTCCATTTGCGAAGTTGCTGATGTGGTTCTCCGTTACCAGGGCCACAGTGAACGCATGCAGCTTGCTGTCACCCGTTTAGGCAAGCAGCAGCTCATTCTAGGGTACTCCTGGCTCCGGAAGCACAACCCGGAGATCAACTGGGATACCCAGGAGGTAAAGATGAGCCGTTGCCCTTCCGGTTGCTCCACCTGCCGGGAGGAACTTCGCGAAGAACGTTGATCTGCCAGAACCGCGGCCCGGGTGCTTCGCACCATCAGACAAGGTCTGGTTCCATCCATCTGCGCTGTTGACGTTGAGGACCACGAGGACGAAGAGATGCCGGAGCTTTTGCCAGACTTGGACGATTATGACCCTGAAGATGTCGAAGAAGATGACGACTCCTTGGAAGCCGGTGACCGTATCTTTTACACCCGCTTCAACCCTTCTGAAAACATCCAAGCCACCAGCACCGTCTCTCAGCAACTTGCCGAGGCGTTCGCTAAGAACTCTGCACCTCCTCGGGATACCATCCCCAAGTGGGCCCGTGAGTTCGAAGATGTTTTCAGCAAGGAGTCCTTCAACAACCTGCCAGAGTGACGCCCCTGGGATCACGCCATTGAACTGGTCCCCGATGCGAAGCCAACCAACTGTAAGGTCTACCCCATCTCCCCTCTCGAACAGAAGCAGCTTGACAGCTTCATCGAGGAGGGCATGGCTACTGGCAGGATTCGGCCGTCAAAATTGCCCATGGCGTCTCCCGTCTTCTTTGTGAAGAAGAAGGACGGCAGCTTACGGTTTGTCCAAGATTACCGAGCACTAAACGCGATGACAGTGAAGAACTGCTACCCGCTCCCCCTGATCAATGATCTCATCAACAAGCTCAAGGGAGCTCGGTTCTTCACCAAACTCGACGTTCGCTGGGGCTTCAACAACGTACGCATTCGTCAAGGCGACGAGTGGAAGGCAGCGTTTCAGACAAACCGCGGGCTCTTTGAGCCGTTGGTGATGTATTTCGGCCTGACCAATTCCCCCGCAACGTTCCAAACGATGATGAATGACATCCTTCAAGACTTCATCCTTTCTGGCGATGTTATGGTGTACCTCGACGACATTCTCATTGCACATTCCGATATCCACCGTCACTGGGAAATCGTGAACGAAGTCCTCCGACGTCTCCGTGAGAACAAGCTCTACCTTCGCGCGGAGAAATGCGAGTTCAAGATGCCGTTGATCGAATACCTTGGGGTGATCATTTCCCACAACCATGTGGAGATGGACCTGGTCAAGGTCGCAGGTGTGGCGGAGTGGCCAGCTCCAGCTAACAAGAAGGAAGTGCAGCAGTTCCTTGGCTTCACTAACTTCTACCGGAGGTTCATCCGGGATTTTTTGCACGTTGCCCGTCCTCTCTTTGACCTCACCAAGAAGGACATGGCATGGACTTGGGGCACCAACGAGGAGGCCGCGTTTCTTGCGCTGAAGAACGCCGTTACCTCTACCCCAGTCCTGCAGCTCCCAGATGCTTCCAGGTCGTACTGCCTCGAAGCAGACAGTTCGGACTTTGCAACCGGTGCTGTCATCTTGCAGCAGTCCCCCATGGATGACAAGTGGCATCCGGTTGCCTTCTTCTCAAAGAGTCTTAATGAGGTCCAGCGGAACTACGAAATCCACAACAAGGAGATGCTCGCCATCGTCCGCGCCTTGGAGGAGTGGCGACACTTCCTCGAGTGCGCCAAGCACCCCGTTGAGATCTGGACCGACCACAAAAATCTGGAGTACTTCTGGAAGGCCCAGAATCTCAACCGTCGTCAAGCCCGCTGGTCCCTCTATCTGTCTCGCTTCGACTTCACCCTGCACCACCAACCTGGCTGCCTCATGGGCCGCCCGGATGCTCTCTCGCGCCCCCCCGACCACGGAGTCGCTTCGGACAACGCAGACGCCACGCTGCTGCGCCCGGAGCTGTTCCATGTCCGGGCCTTGGAAGGTCTCACTGTCTCTGGACCTGAAGCCCCCCTCCTGCGCGACATCCGGGAGGCCCTCGCCGGTACCCCCGACATGGAGGAGCCCATTGTGTTGGCAGCACGTGAGCTCCTCAAGGAACGCAGAGTTTGCTCTGCTCGGGCTGCGGAGTGGCGAAAAGAAGGCGGCCTGCTCTACTTCCGTGGCAAGCTGGTGGTTCCACGCAACAACAACCTCCGCCAATGCATCCTCGAGCAGCACCACGACACCTGCGTCGCAGGGCATGCCGGCCGCTTCAAGACGTTGGAGCTTGTCTCTCAGAACTACTGGTGGCCCCAGTTGTCTCGACACGTCGGCCGGTATGTGGCCACCTGCGACCTGTGCTGCCGAACCAAGGCGCTTCGCCAACTCCCAATCGGGGAACTCCATCCCACGGAGGTCCCTTCGGAGCGCTGGGAAGCGGTGTCGGTTGACTTCATTGTGCATCTGCCAGATGCTCACGGGTATGATGCTATCATGGTCGTTGTTGACATGCTTGGGAAGCGCAGCCACTTTATAGAGTGCCACACCCGGCTCTCCAGTGAAGGTGCCGCCAGGCTTTTCTACAAGAACGTCTGGCGCCACCATGGGCTGCCTTCTAAGTATGTCTCTGACCGCGGTTCCCAGTTCATAGCAGAGTTCACGCAGGAGCTGTGGAAACTGGTCGGGGTCTCATCGGCAATGTCTACGGCTTGGCACCCACAGACGGACGGCCAGACTGAGCGTGTGAACCAGGAGCTCGAACAGTTCCTCCGGATCTTCACCAGCTACAACCAGGACAACTGGGACGAGCTGCTTCCCGCTGCAGAGTTTGCCTACAACAACCACGTTCACTCATCCACGCAACAGGTCCCATTCATGACAGACACCGGTCAACTCCCTCATATGGGCTTGGAACCGAATGGACTACGCTCAGCCGTGAACGAGTCAGCAAACGACTTCTGCGACTGCATCACGTCCGGAGTGGCAGAAGCCAAGTCGGCACTGGTGAAGGCAAAGGATGAGTACAAGCAGTACTACGACCGCTGGAGGGTTTCGGCTCCAGACATCAAGGTCGGAGATCGAGTCTGGCTTGACGCTTCTGACATAGCAACAACGTGCCCGTCCCTCAAACTCTCTCACCGACGGCTGGGTCCCTTCAAAGTCACCCAGGTCGTTGGGCGCGGTGCCTACAAGCTCGACCTCCCTCGCCGCCTCTCTGGTCTCCACCCAGTCTTCCCCGTTGTCAAGCTGCAGCTCATCGAGGACAACCCGTTCCCAACACGCCCGGCTCGCAAGGAGCCGCCACCTGTCATGGGCCAAGGAGCTGGCAAGGAGTGGGAAGTCGAAGAGGTTCTGGACGCCAAGATGCGCTATCGGAGCATTTGGTACTTTGTGCAGTGGAAGGGCTACGATTCGTCGCACGACCAGTGGGTAAAGCACTCTGACGTCTTCGCAGAGGACGCTATAGCGGCATTCTACCGCAAGCACCCCAACAAACCACACATCATTGCCGCCGCCGTCTTCGACTCCCTCCCGTTCCAACACCCCTCTGCCACTATCCGCACATTGCGTCGAGGTGCCGCAATCCAAGGGGGGGGGTGATGTCAGGGGAACCCCCGCTTCAGACCGCTCTGCCTTTGATCAGGCATGTGATCGCGCTCGCGTGACCTGTCAGCTGTCACGTACCGCGGCCCGGACTGCCGCGCCGAGCGCTTCTCTCTGATGGGCACATGGTCAGGTGTCCCATTGTTCCCATTGTCTCGGTTTCCTATTGTTCTCCAATGGCCATTGTACTTATTGTCCCCATTGTTCCTTGTTTGTCGCTGCGTGCTCTATTGTTCTTGTATCAGATAAATAGTGGCGCCTGGCAAGGAGAATCCCCAACACGGTTTCTCTTTGGATTCTCCCTTGCCAGGTATGCCGGTCTTGTACCTAGCTACCACCATTAACATCTTTGGATTCTCCCTTGCCAGAACTCTGAGATCGGGTCTCGAGGTTGCCCTTACATACTGTGATTTGAGTTTGAGTTGAGATATCAGAGAGTCGGATCCGTCGCTTCTGGTTTTGTCGCGGCACTTAGTGTTGTTGCCTTTGGGCTTTGTTGAGATTGTTTCCACGCCTCTAGTTTGGCAGTGCGTCAACTAGTTGTGCTCGGGTTGTCTTGGTCAGTTGGCAGTGCATCGACTTGAGAACTTTGGTTCCACACTTCTTGCTTGGCAGTGCGTCGACAAGTTGTGCTTGGGTTTTGGACATTTGGATATTGGCTGTTAGTTGGCAGTGTGTCAACGTGGCATTTTGGTTTTACTAGTTGGCAGTGCGTCGACTCAGTATTTTGGTTGTATTAGTTGGCAGTGCATCAACTTGATATTTTGGGCTTTGCGTCACCACTTGGATGCTGTTGCTACAAGGGATCTTAATACTTTGTATTAAGTTCTGACTTGTGATATGGTTGGTTGTGGTTGGATCAGTGTTGATTTTGGCTG